GAGGTAAATATGTGTATGTGGTCAGGTATGTGAGTGTTCACATACCTAGTGGAGGCTAGAAGTCAGCAATGTGTGTCTTCCTCTATTGCGCTTCACGTTGATTTTTTGCGATGATAGCTCTTAACTGATCCTGGAGCTCTAGAGATCTGTCTTTGCCCTCTCAGCGCTGGGTTAGCAGGTACACACCACACTTGCTCTTTATGAGTGCTGGATCTGAACTCAGGCCCTCATGTTTGTACAGCAAGAGCTTTCTCTAATGAGTCATCTCTCCACCCTCACAACAATCTTTTTTCTTGGTGGATCGCATTCAGACCTTTGCCCATGGCTCTCAGAGATAATGGAGCTCTTTAAACACACTGTGGCATGTGCTGCCCTTGCCCAGAGTGCTCCTCTTTCCCATCTAGCTACACTGCTTGGTTCTCATCTTATTTAATTTCCTTCGAGAGTCTTCTTGAGATTTCCGAATCTTGAACTACACTAGAGCCTTCTGTAAGATCTTTACTACAGCGCCCTGCCTGCCTTCTTCTACCCCATGCATAGACCCTATTGTTTCTCTCTCTCACGCACACGTGTGTACACACATTTTTTAATTAATTTATTTTATATGAGTTTATATACTCATACGAGTATATGAGTTCTCTATCTGCATGTACACCTACATGCCAGAAGAGGGCACCAGATCGTATTATAGATGGTCATGAGCCACCATGTGGTTGCTGGGAACTGAACTCTGCATCTCTGGAAGAGCAGCCAGTGCTCTTAACCGCTGAGCCATCTCTCCAGCCCTGACATATTATTAGCCAAGTATGTATGCCTTAATTCCAGCACTTGGGCGGCAGAGGCAGTTGTATCTCTTGAGTTTGAGGTCAGCCTGATCTACATAGCAAGTTCTAGGTCTGCATAACAGAGAGACCCTGTGGGAGGTTGGGTAAGTATGGCTCCTTTAGACTCATGAATTTGAATGCTCGGTCCATGGGGCGTGCTACCGTTAGAAGGCGTGGCCTTATGGAGTAGGTGTGGTGTTACTGAAGGAAGTGTGTCATGCGTGGGCAGGCTTTGAGGTCTCCTATACTCAGTCTATATGCCCAGTGTGTCTTTTTCTGCTGCCTGCGGATAAAGAGCTCTGAGCTCCTTCTCCAGCACCATGTCTGCCTGAACACTGTCACACTTTCCACCATGATGATAATGGACTAAACCTCTGAAACTGTAACCAGCCCCAATGAAATGTTTTCTTTATCAGAGTTGGCCCAGGGCTGGAGAGATGGCTCAGTGGTTAAGAGGACTGTCCGCCCTTATGGAGGTCCTGAATTAGATTCCCAGCAACCACATGGAGGCTCACAGCCATCTATACAGGGATCTGATGCCCTCTTCTGGCGTGCAGGTGTACATGCAGATAGGGCGCTCAATACATAAAATGTCTTTAAAAAAAAAAAAAGTTCCCATGGCTATGGTCTTTTCATAGCAATAAAACCCCAAGACAGACCCTTTCTCAAAACAACAACAACAACAACAACAAACTGTGTGTGGCACAAGCGCGCAGGTGCCTGGGTCACAAAATACGTGTTGAGGTTGGAGGACGACTTTCAGGAGTTGGTTTTTCATTCCATCCTGGGTAAAGGGGATAGGATTCAAGTTATCCAGGCTTTTTCAGCAAGTGCTTTTACGTACCAAACTACCTCTCTGGCTCCATACTTTGATTTCATACTGCATAACACACTTAATAGACCAGTAAAATGTTCTATTCCTGTTCCTGTGAACTGTAAGCTAGAGAAGGCAAGGTCTTGCTTGTATTGTTCACTACATAGCCAGGATTTATATTTTGGGATATTCACTAAAGAAGACTGCTTGTTCAAGCCAACAGAAAGTCTTTATTAGCTGGCCAGCGACAACACTTGGTGTTCAGGATCCCAGTGTAGCACTGAGCCTTTCTCGGGGTGAGTGTTTAAGCTCAAAAATATATGTTCTGGGTTGACATACTTTATTTAATGAGAACGGTTAGCCAGAAGTAGGACTACAGAAACTAAAAAGCAATGTTAGAGATTTTCCTATGTACTTGGGTGGATTGGGTCTTTGTGTACATTCTGGCTGGTGGTGCTGTCTACTTGCTGAGTTTTACAGCCTGAATGGTACTTTGATCATGGAGTCAGTCACTCTAAGGTCTAGGGGCCTTCTTCGGTCTGGTTCCTGTTACAATATTGGGTGTTCAGCTGATATAGTGAGAGCGATTAATTTCAATATTGGTGAAACCACTGTAGGTCAGGCATTACTGCCCTTCTTATAGAAGAGACTATTCAGAAGGGGTTTTGTGACCATCCCATGATCAGAATGGAGCAGATGTGTTTTTATACTTACAGATGGCCTTCTTTGAGGTAGCTCAAGACTGCACTAAGGAAATAGTAAGAATATGGAAATGGAATTGGCAAGTTGGCTCAGTGAGTAAAGCCATAAAAGCCTGACAATCTGAGTTCAATACCTGGAACCACAGTGAATGGAGAGAACCAACCTCTAAAAGTTGTCCTCTGATATCTTCAATCCCTGCATTTTGGAGGCAGAAGCAGGCAGATCTCCATGCGTTCAAGGCTGTCCTGGTCTACAGAGCAAGTTCCAGGACAGGCAGGGCTACATGGACAAATCCTGTCTTGAAAAACGAAAAGTCAAAGTAATGAAATACACAGAAGTGAATTCATTCAAAATCATGTTATAGGTATAGATTGGCATGGAAACAAAGCTGTGACATATGAAATAGTGTTAGTAATATTCTTGTAGACATAATAGGATTCTATTTATGTAACTTCATAATGCCTACATATGGTAAATGCAGAAAATACTTATTAAATAATAAAATAGGGAAGTTTGGTCCTGTTACATAATTTCATCTTTTTATAATTCTTTGCAAACTCCTTCAGTTGGGGGGAATAGAAAGTTTAGTTCAAGTCCCTGGAGAGAGTATAATGGCATTATAATTAGCCATAAACCTAATTAATTCTCTCATCACTTAGGTGAAGAAAAAGTAACAGAATAGAATGGTCAGTGTAGGGCGCAGCAACATGATGGTAAGTCTTGGCCTGACGTCTGTAATCACAGCACTGAGGAGGCTGACGCAGGAGAACTGTGAGTCAGAGGCCAACCTGTGCTAGCCAGTAAGATTCTGTCTGAAACAAATCCTTAGCCTTCCAGAGTCAGCCATAGAAGGTTGCATATGGTAATTTCAGTGTCAAAAAGTGTGTGTGTGTGTGTGTGTGTGTGTGTGTGTGTGTGTGTGTGTGTGAAGGATGTAAAAAAGAAAGACTATCCATGATGGTCGTTGAAAATGCAAAGCCACTCTTCATGTAAAAAAAAGCCATGCTGGGTGGCGGCATATACCTTTACCAGCATCAGAGAGGCAAAGACAGAGACAGGTTCCGCCTGAGTTCAGGGTCAGCTTATTATACAGAGGGAGTTCCAGGACAGCCAGAGCTATACAGAGAAACCCTGTCTCAAAAAAGAAAAAAAAAAAAACAAAAACAAAAAAAAAAAAAACTGGAGGCTGGAGAGATGGCTCAGAGGTTAAGAACACTTGCTGCTCTTCCAAAGGTTTTAAGTTCAATTCCCAGCAACCACATGGTGGCTCATAACCATCTACAGTAAGATCTGGTGTGCAGGCAGAATGTTTTAATACTACTACTACTACTAATAATAATAATAATAACAACCAACCAACCAAATAAACAAAAACAGAAAGCAGAAAGAAAAAAGACCTGGTATGATGGCACCTGCCTAGTATTCCCACAACTTGAGAAGCTGAGGTGGGAGGATCATGTGTTGGAGTCCAGCTTGGACCACTTAGTGAGAATCTGTCCCGAAAGAGGAGGGTTCAGAAAAGATGGCTCAGTAGTTAAGAGCACACACTTTGCAGAGAGCTTGGTTTTGATTCCCAGCACCTACATCTGGTGGCGCACAGTGTTTCAACATGCCCAACCAATTCTCACAGAAACATATACATAGTTAAAAATTGAAAAGATGTAGCTTAGTGGATAGTTTGTGTGACATACATGAGGCCTTGTGTATGATCCCCAACATTACATAAACTGATTGTGGTAGACATGCGTGTAATCCCGCTTCTTGGGAAGTAGAAGCAGGAAGATTAGAAGTCAGAGGTCCAAGATCATCTTTGGCTACAGAAATTGTTCAAGGCAGCCTGGGTTGCATGAGACCCTGTCTCAAAACAGGTGGGGGCCAGGGAGATAAAAGAGAAAGGATGAACATCTGAATCTAGCCTATTACTACCAAGGGGATCATTAAGGGAAGGAACATTATTATTTTTTTTTTTTGTATAATATTTATTGTATAATACTCATGTAATCAGGCAGTAGTTTCCAGATTGAAACTAAGACTGGTAAAGTCAGGTCCAGGGTTCACAACTAGTCATTAACACCAAACTAACTCCAGATCTTTACTATGCTACTGCATGCCCCTGCAATAATGTGAGTTTGTGATTTGATTAGTCTAGGTTATGACCCTCGGGTCAACCAAACCATTCACGAGACTTGGAAAAGGCTGGAGTAAATCTGTCCATCACAAAACGTACCTTGTTCAGTCTGAGCTGGCACAGCATGACTGACTTGTGTAGCTGACATCATAAGGTCTTCTGGCTGATATTTTTCTCTGGACGAGTCCCTGAGAACTTCTAGAAGCCAGGGAGAATAAGGAAATTCTCTGTATACAAGGAAACCTCGATTTTCTAAGGAACTTGGCCAAAGGCATAGTATCAAGTCCAAAGACAAGATTCACTTTCCATGTGGTTAGTGATTTTCTATGAAGAATTGTCACTGTAAAACAAGGTGTTTTGTAGGAAGCTGCTTCTTTTATGACATCATCAGACAGAGATTGTAAAGAGGGCTGTGAGGCATTCTTAGAACAGTAGCCACTCTCGTAGGGGACCAAGAACAGCAGCTCTGAAAACAATGAGGGTAAACACTCATGCTTAATCAGGATCCTGAAAACAAGCCAGCTAATAAAACATGGCATCTACCCAGAAGGGCACAGTCTTTCAGGTGTTCAAGACAAATAAAAGTGGGTCCAAGGTAGCAGTTTCTTCACACAGAGGGCCTGAGGTTACTACCTCCACTCCTCAGCGGGGACATGGGTGTATTCCCTCAAGCCAGCGAGGTGCTGCTGTCACCCTGAGCCCTCCTACCCAAGGAAGAGCGGAAGCTGCATATTCCACTGCCCACCATTCAACATCAGACTATCCTCGCTGCGTGTCCCAACAGTCAGGGCCTGGCCCCTCCACAGTGTCCACTCCACGGGGAACTAACACCAGACCAAGGGTAGAGACATTCCGCCGCCACTCTCCTCATCGAAAGAACCAGTCAGTGCAGACTGCGCTTTCCCATCCCTCGGGAGGACCTCGGAATGTCAGTCCAATCAGGGAAGAGTCAACTCGAAAAAGTGAGAACAAGCCAGGGCGTGAAGTTGGTTATCATTCCTCTCTGGTCTCTGATGCCAAATACCGTCACTTGTGTTTTGTAAGTGAAAAAGAGGAGGACCCACCGTCCAAGGTCCAGAACCCCCAGGGGGTTAGAGTACCCCGTAGAATTTCAGCTTGCCCAAAGGATGAAGCTATACAAACAGAACCTACCCGACGAACTACTGCCGAAGTCAAATCTTCAAGAACTGTCTCTATCCCAGAGCATGGCACTCGTGTCACTGCTGAGCAGCAGACACTCCTTAGAAAGAGCCCTCTCCAGGAACCAGAAATTGGTCCTCCCGGCTTAATTCTTTCAGAACTTGCCACCTCGCAAAAGAACATAAAAATATCATCAGGCCTCAAACTTTCTGTCCTTAGAGATTTAGATGGAGCACCTCGAGTTCCTTCACGTTCAGAGCGTTCTGTCTATGTTGAGACCAGGCCCTCCTCAAAAGTTTTAATGTCAGAAACGGAGCCCACTGCAAGGCCCCCCACCCGAGACCGCAAGGTGACCATCTCCCCAGGAAGACAGCCAGCACAGTCAAGCCATCATTTGACAACTCGAACGCCATCTGAAGGAGCCTATAAGTCTCCCCTGTATTCAGAGCTTTCTCCAAAGCCCTCCGTCCACGCAGAACTGGAGCTGACCCCTCGGCCTTTGCCCCCTCGGTCCTTACCTAGGTACGGGCCTGACTGCTCATGGTGGGCCTTACTGAATCCTAAAGTTGAAATACCCCCAAACCAGTCATCAATATTTGATTATGAACCTAAGTCCCCTCCTCCCCTAGACACTGTAGATCCGTTTTACGAAATGGACTCAAACCCTTTCTTTGAGGACGTGATGTCCCAGAGAGAAAAAGCAAGCCTACCATCATCACCAAGGGAGTCTTTATATGGAGAACCATTGACGGAAGGGCAAAACGCCCTGAAGTACAACAGCCAACAACCCATTCAAGGGTTCAGTGCTTTCTTCCTGGGTATGTGAAGAAGCAAACTGTCCAGGCGCAAGCCCACAATTAGTGAAAACAGGACACTGGGGTGGGCAGGAGAGCAGCCGCTCTTTGTGCTGGGCTCCAAGGCTGCCTTTATGCTAGAGCCAAAGCTGCTTCTGTCTTTGAGCTCAGTGCTCCATTGCCTTGCGTGCTACCACCTCTGAGCTCCAAGCCAGTGACAATCAATGCAAGTGGTTAAATCTGGAATTGAGCATTGACTCTAACAGGCATTGCAGCTTAACTCTTCTGTGGAAGGTAGAGAGTGGACTGCAGGGTCAGAAGTGGATTCCTCAGAGTGGAGATAAAGAGCTGAGGCAGGCTGAGGGTTAGTGAGGGCTGTTAAAAACAAGAGCCTCAGGTAAACACTGTGATTTCAAAGTAGAGTAGTTGGGGCATGCATGGTTTGGGTGCCAGGCTTCAAACAGAGAAGGTTGGAAGATGGGAGAGGGACAGCGAGCAAGTGGCACTCAGTCTTAGCTGGGAGGAGAGTGAAAAGGGCCACAGGCTAAGAAGACACTCTGGTAGAGACCTGGAGGGAGGGATGGCATTCCACAGACAGGAAAATGCAAGATTCTGTTACTTTCAGATGTTTCTGAGGAAATGTACAACCGGATCCTCTGGTGGCTGAAAGGTCTGTGTTTTCCCTCTTCGTGGAAGGCTTGGGCTGGGGGTGGGGCGAGAAGACAGGTGAGAGGTGAGAAGGTGGCCTCCATGCCTGCTTTGTACCGCTTGGTCTTTCAGGAAACTAAATGGCTAGGGTTTAGACCTAAATGAGCAGTGATTTTTTTTTTTTTTTTTTTTTTTTTTTTTTACTTTAAATTCTATTATTAGTCATCCCTTTGGGAATGTGAACCTCTTTCATTTTCAGCAGTCTCCTGCTGAGAACTTGGCTCTAGGGAGGAGAACAGTTTGAGCCCTGTGGTTTCTACACATAACCTCACCTATCTCATGTTTGTGTGTTTGTTTGTTTTCAAAAGATTTATTATGTATATACAATGTGTGTTTGCATGTACACCTGCATGCCAGAAGAGGGCACCAGATCTCACTGTAGATGGTTGTGAACCACCCTGTGGTTGCTGGGAATTGAACTCATGAAGAGCAGCCAGTGCTCTTAACCTCTGAGCCATCTCTCCAGCAGCCCCCCCCCCATATGTTTGTTTTTGAGACACAAGATCTTGTTACATAGCCTTGGCTGGTGTTGACCTTGCTATGTAGATCAGGATGGCCCTTGCATATATACAGATCTGCCTCCCTCCAGAGTGCCAGGACTAAAGGTGTGTGTTAGCACACTTAGCTCCCATCACATCTTTTAAGATTGAATTGATTTGATGTGTATGGGTGTATGTATCTCTGTGCCCATGAGGGCCAGAGCAGGATGTTAGATCCTCTGGAACTGGAGTTGTGAGTTATGAGCTGCCATATGATTGCTAGGAATTCAACCTGGTTCCTCTGCAGGAGCAGCCAGTGTTCTTAACCATGGAGCCATCTCTCCAGCCTCCTCCCAACCCCCACCATGTGTTTTAAAGAAAAATCACAAAAACAAACTGAAATCGTGTCCATTGCTGAGGCCACAGTGGTTCCGGTTAAGGGTCCAGAACTCCTCTCACGCCCCCGCTTGTTGCCCTCGTAGGAACTCTAGGCCTGCTCACCTCTCCTCTCCCCTTCCCACACCGGTAGGGCTTGCATTTGTCTCTGGAATCATTAGCATCCTCTCTGGTCCTTCTGCTCCTTTTTATGCTTGGCCACTGGTGGCATGGGAGTGTGAGGATCAGAGTGTGTCTCAGTAGCAGCAAGTTCTTGCTGTAAGAATGATGGCATGACAAAGCTCCTGTTCTATTAACGGGACATGGGACAGGGCTCTGAATGACACTCCTGGGGAGGACAGAGCCCTGAGAATGCACTTCAGTCCTAAATCATCCTCCCATTTGGAGGGCCTGACGAATGGGTGTTGCTTTATATGTAAAGCACTTTTACCAAGGTGTTTGGCATCATGAACACTCAGTAAATGGCAGCTGCTGCTGTTTGGGCCATTTGGGGTCCTAGGAATGGACTTTTGGGCTAGGCTATGCCTATATCAGCTGGGCATCTTTAGTAACACTCTCTTTTCTCCCTTCATGGTGACACTTCCTGAATTCCATTTGCTGCCCCCCTGGAAATGCCTGGCTGCCGCTGCTTTGTTTTGACAGATGAGGAGGTAAGCATCCTTCTGGGAGGTAATTTCTAGTCCAGTGTTCCGACCCCTTGTCTAACTCCTACTCCTGTCCTCTAATGGGAGGGGGTGTGGAAGATACAGAACTACAACATGTGATTAAGGCAGGCTGTTCACTGCACAAACGGGCACTGTGTCCACCAGGGGCCTTTGTACAAAAGTGTTATATGAGCTGAAGTTGCAGCCTTGAAGAGAAAGAATGGAGATCTTTTACCCAGTGCTCTAGGGGAAGACTGGGCAGCTATGGGTTGGATCATTCCCCATCTGGCTCTTCCCTCTCCTGCCTAGGGCACTTCAGAAAGGGGTCGCCTTTCTGGGTTACACACTATTTGAGTCCTCGGGTTAGAGAAGCATGAAGTGGGTTCTGTTCTTGGCAGCCCTGTGTCCTAAATTTGGCAGTGTTCTGATTTTGCAGTGCATTTACTGTTCCCTTATGTACTTACACTCTTCTTGGCCCATGTTTGATAAGATGGTCAAAGCTCTTCCTGCTTCCGTTCTTTCTGTTACCACATTCCTCTCTTCCCCAAAGCCTAGCAAAAGATCCTAGTGAGTCTCATCCATGGCTGGCTGGTCCAGGATGAGCAGTTGACTTCAGATGGAAAATGAGTGGGGACAGCAGGAGCTCAGATAACAGCACAGCTGAAGGGAAGGTGTCCTGGAATGCAGCTGCCCCCCCCTCTGCCATGAGTTCTTATCCAGCCTCAGGTCCTGAGCTCAGCTGTAGGTGGGAGCAGCCACTTTTAGAGATTATCATCTCCAAGCAAAACAGTAAGTCCCTCTTTCCTCTGTTTTCCTCCAGTTCTGCCCCGCTTCTTCATTCCAGAGACAGTTTTTATTTTGATGCCTGATACTCTGCTAGGCATTAATGCACGTACGCACGCATGCACTCAAACGTGTGTGTGTGTGTGTGCGCGCGCACACACACACACACACACACACACACACATTGTTTGCTTTGAGATCCTGACTACAGGAATGGGGAGATAAGACATGGACAATAATGATATATACTATAATAATATGCACTATAACAAATAATAATAGGCACTAGTCTGTGCTCAATGCCCAGACAACAGGCTGAATGAATGCTCTTGGTGGGGCTTAGGAGATGGGGAGTCAAGAGGAGGGTAAGGTAGGTAGCTACGCCCTCCTGTCCAAGACCAGAGGGGGACACCTTAATATAAATCTATACCTTTGAAAAGGGCACTGTTTTCTTTGGTTCAAGATTTGATGTCTGTGACTAAGCAGGCTCCTCTCCATCCTCCCCCAGCCTTACCCCCTTTTCTGTGCATCTTGTTTTAGTTTAGGAAGTCAAAAGTTCTGGCAGCAGAATGACTTATTCCCAAAATAGCTTTTATCCTGTCTGGATAATTACAGCTCTTCAGCCATGCTCAGTAGCAAAGATGCTCCTTAGAAGCCAGGAAGAGAAGGCTCTCAGGCAGTTGGGCTGGGGTCTTCTCTGGCTCTCCAGAAGTAGATTTTGGATAGAGTTTGGATAGAGTATCCCCCATGAAAAGCCGGCTCCAGCAGCCTGTCCTTTTTCATTACACAACCCTCATGCTGGCCTAGGTTGGCGGGCCCGTGGTCCTGGTATACAAGGTCTCTTGTTCCTCTGATTTGGGAATGCTTGACCATAGAGACTGTTCCAGATTCCATTCCCAGCAGGAATTCTCTAGTGGCTCAACCCCAGTGGCTGGCTCATGGAAGGCAGTGTTTGTTACTGAACTTCATTAAGCCCCTTTGGTCCAAGCTATGAAGCCAGATTTAGTCCATGACTCTGTCAGTCTCCTGAATGGCTCCTCGAGGTCTTCTTGTCTAGGGGTGGGGTTGAGAAGAACTTCTCATCCTTGGATTGGGATGGTAGGGGGTGGAGTCTCCTTTGAGAAGAGACTAGACTGAGGGGAGCATTCCTAACTAGCAGAGTCTTAACAAGAAGGTCCTACCCAGGCCTCTAGTAAGTCGGGAAACTGCCTTCTCTGGCCTGGGGAATTCTGAAAATAATGCAGCTCTTTTTGTTTTTAAATTCTTTGAGACAGGGCTTCTCTGTGTAGCCTTGGCTATTCTGGACGGGCTTTGTAGACCAGGCTGGCCTTGAACTCACAATGATCCACCTGCCTCTGCCTCCTTGAGTGCTGGGATTCCAATGATGTCGCTCTTAAGAAGGGCTGCAGTACCTCTGATGGACATAGCCATCCCATCCCAAGATCACAGGATGCCTGACCTACCTGCCTCTAGATGTGACTATTCTGGCTATCAGAGGAGGAGGTAGTTTCCTCCTTGCTGTACCTATCAATTATGCAAGAGACCAACACTTGGAAATTAGGGCAGGAACCAGAGGAGGCCATTTCAGTGGTACCCGAGGCAGACATGAAATGTCTTCAAGGTAAACCCTGAAGGACAGGGTAGTCAGACTCCTGTTGACTTCTGAACCTTGGGAAAGTTCTGTTCTGAGGCAGTTTACTTACAAAAAAAAAAAAAAAAAAAGCAAGCCCAAGTCTCTTAGGAACTCAGGAGTGTCTACATTCATGAAGGAGGTAACAGAATCCTAGAATGTAAACTATTTGAAAGGAATCCTGGGAACTCTCTTTCTCAATCTCCCCATTCCTCTTGTCTTGTATAGAGCAGTGGTTCTCAAGCTTCCTAATGCTGTGACCCTCATGTTGTGGTGACCCCCAACCATAAAATTATGTTTGTTGCTATTTCTAACTGTGATTTTGCTACTGTTATGAACTGTAACATAAATATCTCTGTTTTCCAGTGGTCTTAGACGATCTCTCACAACACACAGTTTTGGAGACTGATGGTTGAGAGACTAATGTTTAAAAGCATAGGGCACATGTGAGTGGAAACGAGGCAGGGTACTTCAGAAGGCTTTTCACAGCAGCTTAACTCCACCGCACAGTGTCTGACCCAGCCAGATGACACTTGGTTCATTTTCAGTGACTACAGGCAGCCCGTTCTGGAGCAGGATGAACAGCTGGTGACTTTTGGCTATGACTTGCTAATTTGGGGAAAGGTTAGGTTGACCAACTCATAAGGGTTTATTCCTGAAAGTCCCTTTCTTCACGAACTCTCGTTAGTCCTGGAGAAACCAAGAGTTTTGGAATGGTTTATCTCAGCACCAGACACTGGATAAAGAGTTGAGAAATGATTTCCCAGCTTCACCTTGAGACTTGGGCAGCTGACTCTTAAGCCCAGTGAAATGAGGGCAGGAAAATGTGATTTCTCCTTGGCTTTGATGGTGGTCCCAAAGCTAAGCTTCCTTAGTTTTTGTTGTCAAAATAATCCCACAAAGCCACATACATTTTGGACTCCCTAGTAGTATGGGTTTTTTTTTCCTTTTTGTTTATCTAATTTATGTGTGTGGGTATTTTTGCCTGGATATATGTCAGTCAGTATACCACATTTGTGCTTGGTACCCTGGGAATCAAGAAAAAGTTCAGATCCCTGTAACTGAAGCTACATATGGTTGTGAGCCTCCATGTTGGTGCTGGGAATCAAACTTGGGTCTGGAAGAGCAGCCAGTACTCTTAACCATTGAGTTGATATCTCCAGACCTTCTCTCCACTTCCATCAACGTACCTTGGAAAGCTAACTGCTCTTCTGACTGGACTCCATTTCCGGTTCTTTTTATTAGAATATTTTACTGACATTTGACATGATGATTTTGGTAAGGGGAAAGATGGCTTAGGTGGAATAGGAAGATTGGCTTCAGGGGGCAGGGCAGGATTCGAGTGAGGAAGAAAAATCTTTAACCCATAAGCCATCCTGACAGCTGCTTGGCCAGAAGGCCGCTGTGATGAGCAGCAGAGATGGTCCATGTCCCTTCACCCTCTGCTCAGCTGCCTTTGGTTCAGCTGCTGAGAGGGGAGCAGCAAGACAGCTGCTCCTCAAGGGCTGGACAAAGGCTTGGAGGAGGGGAACAGAATGTGAGCAATGCCTTTTAGTTCCTGAGAGAAGCCCCAGCTCTGACAGCCTGGAGAGGCCGAGTCTCTTCCTCCGCACACCCACTGTAGTCAAAGTTATCTAATTCCAGGAGGCCTCTGTAGTAGCTGTGCTTGGGAATTTGGGTTGGTTGGTCAAGGACTAAGACCTGAAAAGCTGACTCCACAGGCGGCAGCAGCATATTCCAAAGTCACTTTAAGGCATTACTCTGGTATTCTCTGCTCCCATCTCTCTAGACCCATTGCACGTGGACACTCCTAATCCTTTGGAGAGAAAACATTTGAAATAGCCACAGTTGGCAGCAGCTGGTTTGGTGTTGATAATATCCTCATTTGCAGATGTAATAGCTACTATTCATTTTAGTGGCTTTACTGTTTTGTGTTACTAGATATTTATAGCAACCTATGGAGTAGATATTTTTTTCTCTCCAATTCACAGATGAAGAAACCGAGGGTCTGAGCTTGTTTGTCAAAGCTGAGAACACTAAGGAACATTTCATTCTGGGATTCCATAGTGTACAGATATTCTTCTATAGCCATATCTTTCTGTAAAGCAGCTTCTCAGTTTTTCAGAAATGTCAAGAACTGTGAAGAGAATAGTATTACTGAGGGCACATTCATGTCTTCACATGTGAGTTACAAGGCTGAGAGCCAGACAGCCTGAGAGCAGACAGAACGGAGGACAAGTGACGGGTCAGTGAGGTCTAGGGCCTGAAGGCTTGTCTGTGCCCTAAAGTCAGAATGGAAAACTAATTAGTGCATTGCTTTCATCGGCCGTTATTGATCAGCCAGCTCCTGAGGGCAGAGCCCCGGGTACTATCACATCACATACTCTATTCCCCAGACAGAAGTCAGCAGAGGTTAAAATGGAAGACAGGCTCCAGCCCCTGAGGGGCCTTTGCTTAATGTGGGAGAGAACAGTACACAAACAGGTCACCTGAAAGCGTGTGGACATCCAAGGATGAACAAAGTCTAGTGAAATGAGTCAGCAACCCTTCTAGCACAGAAGCATTTAGGAAACGTCAGGGTCAGGGGAATCCT